CCAGAACATTTCCGAGCTGCAATGAAAGTATCACTGAATAATTGCTTAAAATGAGTCTGCAGCAGAGCTGTTTCACTTGCCTTAATTATTTTGGGTATAGTCTTAGCAGAAAAATCACATATAAAATAGCAGGAAAAAGAACATAAAGTTATATGAAGATATGGAAGGTGTTGTTTTTTGTTTGTTTTTGTTTTTTTTTTTTTTTAATAAAAACCAGTAAAATAAGTAAAATATTTTCTTTTTAGTCTTTTCAAGACTAAACCCAGTACAACATATTCACTCATGATTAGATGATGTCTGATTTTTTTTTTTTACGAAGTGAGTTGGTGATCAATTATTTTTGTTTTATAATGGAGAGTGTTTAACATACTGTATCACCATCTTCAGGCTGATGGGGTTTGAGTACCACAATTTCAAATGCATTTGGTCTTTAAAATGCTGTTCAGCTTACTTGGAACCACTTCCAGTAAATTACAGGTAGCTAAATATTTTCATGGTTTTCCCTCTCCTCCTTCATTCTTTGACATGCCACATTCTGTGACTGAATTTCTGACTTTGCTCAAGTGGAACGTGTAATGCCATGTGCAAGCCACCACACTCCATACCCTTCCTGAAATGTGTGCCTTGCACATCACCTGCTCTTTCTTTTACTTATTATAAAACACATTCCATCTACTAATTTTTTTGTTTTATTCACAGAACAAATATTAGTGGAAAAGATTAACCATTTTTGTCTCCATCAAGCATTTAATGATTATGAATAGAGTACCACACCTCATATAGAGCTGAGGGAGAAACAATCCCAACTCAGGAGAAGGCAAAACCTGTGTCTCTGGAAAATGACCTCAGTGTAAAGTTGTGCTGTTTAGGAGATACAAACTTTGCAGTCAGGACAGACGGGGTGTGGGGTGCAGGGGGAACGCCTGCAGGGTGCACAGAAAGCCCCTGGTGCTCCAGTCCTGCTGCCCCGCGGGGTTGCTCTGCAGCGCTGATAGGACGCTGATGCTCAGCGCAGTCCCCGAGCCCACCTTTGTGTGAGGAAAGCTCCGTTCCGCTTCCCCGCGGCTCGTTCACGATTGTCGGTGTGGCAGTGCCGCTGCCAGAGCCCTCGGTCCGTGCGGCCAGAGGAGGGGATGGATGGCAGAGCCCAGCCCTGCTGGCGGCACAGCCGGGGCTGGGCGAGCATCCCCTCCCCGCGCTGCAGCCGCGGCCTGCAGAGGTTCTGGCTCAGAAAAGCTGTTTTAAGCTGGCAGGAAGAAATGGAGGCTGTCAGTGGCACAGCTCCTCGTTTAAAGGAAACGGCCCTATTTGCAGCGCTGTTGCCATGGCAGCCAGCCTAGCAGCCCGCTCTGGAGTTCCTGCCGCTTGGAAATTTCCGAGGGGGTTTGCAGGAATGTTGGATGTGACATTTTCCCATTTTTACTTGCAGGTTTAAGGGCTTTAATAGCTAATATGCATTGGATTTTCTTTGGAAGAAATAATGAGATGATTACATACAGAACATAAAAAAAATTCTGGATGCGTTGCTTTTCTTTTTGCTGCCATTTGAAAGAACTGTGTGATGGAGCCTTTCTCCTTCAGCCCTGTAATTGTGAAATGCCAACAGCTATTTGCTGTTTCGTAGTACCTTCTTTAAAAAGATAAAATTGATTTTAAATTAATAGGATTGTAATGAAGTGTGTTAGATGTGGAATTACTAGTGCTGGAACTGTGCACAGCATGTGTCCTGGGTTTTTTCAAGACAAGAAGCAGTGGTGAAAGCTTGTCAATCAGCATAGATAGCACTGTTCCTGCAGGACAACTATCCATTTATTTTTGGCCTCTTTACATTCCAGTGCTTGTGATGATATAGTACTACTTTGAGACTGCTCTTCCATAGGATACACATTACAGATTTGTAACAGAGATCACTTGCTCAGCTTTGATAAAAGCTGTTTGTTGGAGATGATGTAATAATACACTTTATTTTCTCTCATTCTGCCACTCACACCGAGTGAGACGTGACTGCACACTCTGTTCGCTGCCTTTCCAAGGGCCTGGGACAGAATGTGTTGTGTCTCCTCAAGTGTTTGTTTGCCAGTTTTCCTGCCTTCAGCCCCTCGTAGCCCTTCAGCAGAACATTGTTGTGGGTGTCCTCCGTCCTTGTGCCCCGTCAGGACACAGTGTGTGAACGTGAGCAGGACTGGCTGCTGGAGAACAAAAGCCACTGGCTCTGTAGAAGCTGCTGCTTTAGAGAAGCACAGCTCTGATGGTGAAGTGCCTTGGTTAACAGGGACCTCTCCCTTTCATGCCACCATCTCCATTCCCTGGCTCAGGGAGTGTTGATTCCCTGCTGTGCTGACACTGGGGAAGCTGTAAGAGTGGGAGCACTGGCCTCTGGTGCTCAGTTTTTTCAGCTGGTGAAAAATCCACACCTCCAGTGCAGTCACAAGACTTGTGCTGACTGAGAGTCAGATAACCAGATGTTCTTACTGGGAGCAGGGATTATGCTTTTCTGTTTTGTCAGTAGGTATTAAATAAGTTATCCAAGCTTTAACGATCTTTTTATTGACTGAAGAAAACACATGGAAATTTTGGAATCTCTCGGTGTTCAAGCGTTAAAATCGTACACTGACTTGGAAACGAAAAAGAATACCCGCCCTTCTCCCTCAGTCAAAACAGGAATGTGAGTGACCTCTCTGTGCATGGCTTTTATTCAGAAGCAGTTCACAGACAGTTTTTAGAGTTGCAGTGGTGTGAAGGAGGATTCCTGCCAGATAATGTCAAGTGCAAAATATGTGTACCATCTTTTAGCAACTAGAGTTGTTCAGTGGTGTTAACAAAGCCCTTCTTTTGCACGTACACTTGAAACAGGAGGAAGAGTATTGCTAATAGTAATACTGTATTAACATATTTAAATTTTTGTTAATTTGAGGCCTTTCTGTCAGAGATCATCCTCTATGATTTTAGATGTTATGTGGGTAGCTGCCTGATTTTACAAGAGTAAAAGTGAGAGGTAAATTATCTGCCTACAAGCTGAATGGATTTACCGTGATAAGAACAATCTGTTAAACACAGTGTTGGAGTAAGTACCATTCCCAGGGGAACTTGGCTTTGTAGTACCTGCACCTCGTGACTTTTGCCTTCTCCTGTCTCCAGATTCTGTGCTGGCTTGTCTGTAAAGGGTTCTTTGAAATGAAGGGGAGGGGGAAGAAAAACCCTAAACCCACACTAGAACAAGCAGCAAAACACTTATATATTATATTTGGGTAATGCTTCAGTGGAGTTTAGATAATTTTTTTTTTTTAAACTGTGTCCCTCAGTCTCATTCATCCTTATTAGATTTACTGCTTTGTGTGTCACTGACTCTTCCAGAAATCTCTTGCTGTGTGGATTTCTATATTTATGATAAGCAAAGTCTGTATCAGCTTTAATTATGTTAGATTTAAACCAACCTGTATTCTATTCTAGATACTTTCTCACTGACATAAATTGCCAAAAGTGCAATTCTCACATCATTCATCCTTGTATTTGAAGATAATTTCATCATATTTTCCTTATTGAAAACTTGTGATTTAGTTTCCATGACTCCCATCTTCCTGTCTGGCTGCTCTTTGAGCTGCTTTTTGTGAGTCCCCATTTTCCTCTGAGCTTTTCCCAAACCTCATTCCTGCTCCCTTCCTTTATACCTACTTCATGTTCACCTCCAGTGTAACAAGTCTGGCTGTAACTCCTGTCCCTCACATCACAGGGGCAAGAGAGGGGTCACTGCTGCCTGTAGTGCCCATCTGAACCCAGATATGCTCTCACTCGATGCAGTTATGCAACTCAAGTTACAGGTGTTGCCATTTCTTCCTGAGAAACATCTCTTCTTCTTTCTTTGTGTGGGGGCTAAAAGTATTTTAGGTCCTTAGGTCTTTTGTAGAGAAGTAAATATTGGCTTTTTCCCTGATGTGTTTGCTTTGGAAAAGCAAAACGTTTTTAGCTTTTCAGCTTTTAATAATATATTTAGTGGTTTTATTCACAACTGCTTTCTATTTAGAAATTTTCTTTAATAATACATCTAATTGCTCAGTATTTATTTTCTTTAAAAAATTCTAGACACCAAATCTTGTTTTAACCTTCTTAATTTCGAGTTGATTGCAAAAGCAAACATCTGGTTTTCATCCAGTTTTGTTTCTGTTTAACCTCCTTGCTCTGGTCAAGTCAAAATCTTCACTTATTATCTTCTTATACCATCTTTCTAACTATGAGTCATCTCTTCTTTAGTATTCCCCCTGCAGTGCTTCCCTATTAGTCATGCTACAGGCTGTCCTTTATTATGTAATCCATAAGTTCATGATATTTATTTAGAAAGTGAATAACTGCACATTCTGTGGCTTCTCTACCTCACCATTTTTTCAGTTTTCCCACAGTTCTTGTGACTTGTCCAGATACAGATGGGCCAGCTCAGAATGCTGCTGCTGTGCTTTGGGATGACAGTGCAGGTGCACAGAGGTGCAGGCAGGGAGTGTTCTGAGCCAGGATTGCTTCCCTGGCTCTGCTCACAACGCTAAAGGCTCACCCCCAGCGAGTGCTTTGTGTGCAGGGACATCCTCTGTGTCCCCACACCCTCCTGCTGGGCTCCAGTGCCTGCTCTCTGCTCAGGCTGACACTTCAGGGGATGGGGCAGTTTTTACTCTTTCTGCAAAGCTTAAGCCAGGTGTCTGATCATAACTGAAGCCACAAATCAGATACAATACATTCAGAAATGACACAGCAGGGCTCCCCATCCTCTCCACTTGGGAACACTGGTCATTACAACATGGGCAGTAAGAACATTCCTTCCCACGTGTGTTTACTAACACTGAAAGCACCGTCCTAGCAAAGCTTAGGCTGAGCCAGCTACACCTGCCAAATGGGGTTTGTGAGGAAGCTTAGAAACAGAGCAAGTCTGAGCAAAAAGCATCTTAGAAATACAAGTGCATTATTTCTGAATTGATTACTTGCCTGTTGTGTGTTGGTATATGAACCACAGCAGCAGTAACATTCCTGCACCTGCTGTAATATTTGTCAGCATTCACTATGTTTGACATAATGAACTGAAAAAATTGCTAATTCTGGTTTACTCACTGTGTCTGACATGATCAGCTCCACTGTGGACATCACTGATGTTGGAGCAGGTCATTCTGCTTGAAGACTTTGGACCTGAAATAAAGAGGTCTATGTTTAAAACTGACCTGTAACTGGGTGAAAGGTTTGGCAGACACATTTGTAGTGTGCTTGGTGTTCCAAGAAAGCCAAATCTAAGTATGGTGTAAATTGGGATCAAATACAGCTGTACAGCATTGATGAGATTCCTGCCCAGAGCAGGACATGGTTTCCCACCCTTGCCACAGCTTCCTAGCTGTGTAAAACAAAGCATAGTTTAAAGAACAGGAGAGAGACAAGTTTTAATCTACTCAGAACCAAACAAGTAGTCTTGCCATGCTGTTTATAAATTTTCTTTCATATGATTTGGATGGGTTAGACTTGCTTAAGATTTTTACAGAGATTGCACATCTAGTTTGAAGGCAAAGTCAGTTTGCTTGATCTTACTAGTTGTAAGCAAGGAAATCCAAAACAAGAACATACCAGAGATTTTTTGCTTTCCTGTAAACACCACACCAGTTAGTGAATTCCTCAGGGTTTTGTGTCAATGATGTGGGAAGTTCTGAGAAGTATCCCCAGGGTGAGAGGTTTAACATCATATCATTAGAGTGTATGCTTAAACTGCATTTCCATGGAAATGTTTTTTTTTAGTGCATATTTGTATAATAAAGCTTGTGGATTTGTAGAGTTGGATATTCATCCATAAATGTGTGTTTGCACACACTTACTTGCATTGTTTTGGGTAGATTAGACCAAGTGGACTCAGACACCCAGGTGGGTTCCTGCAGGAAGGTTTGGACTTGCTGTCCCCACCCTGTGACGTTTCTGGGTGTGTGACTGTGTGTTCCACAGCCCAGCCAGCCTGGCAGGGGCTGCTAAAGCAGGGGCTGCTGAGCAGCCCTGAGGCACTGCCAGTCCCCAGTAGCACAATCTGCACCTGCCAGTGAGGGACACCTTGGGAAGAGTTCCCGGCTTACCTGGAGACACAGGAACTTAAGGAACACAAAAATGAGCTATTATAAAATAATTCTTCAGGTACCTTTTTACAGTCATGTACTTGGAATGTAATTGTAATTACTTGGAATGTAATACTTAATGCCCTACTTAAAGCAGGTATTTTCAAGTTTCCAGAGGGACTCGGTACCTTTGGAATGAGTTTTCATCAATTTACATTTTAGTGTTGTTATTTTTGCATTCTCTCATCTCTGTCCTTTGTAATTCTTGTGTAACAATGCTGTAAAGTCTGAACAGATCTGCTGTGCCCACAGCTCTAAGATGTTTGTATTAAACTCTCAATGTTTGTGTGACATAAGAAAATAATGTCCTTGTTTTCAGGACTTGCTATTCCCGGTCTTAATGCCTCAGCCAGAGGAATATCCTTCCTGTGCTGCAGAACAGGAAATAAGCTGGTTCCTTTTAAATTCTGGAAACAATGAACTTTGTCCTTAGCTTAATTTTTCAGAAATTACATTCATTTTGATGTTTTGGACAATGCGTTAGCTTGTTTTGCTTTCTCGTGAAATACAATGGGAACAGCATACCAGAATCAAACATCCATAATAAGTTATGAAGTCTGAATTTAAGAATGTAAATATTACATCTTTAATGTAGGTTTTCTCTTGACCATCCCTTGTTCAGAAGATGAAACTGGGGCCATAGCTGTATGTGCCAAAGAGAGGATGAAGCACTACAGTAAATTGATACAGACACAAGGGGAAGGGAACAGTAGAGGAAAGAAACAACTATTTTTTTTCCTTATTATTTCTTTTCCTTGGGAAAATTTACAAAAAAAACATAATCTTTGAAAGTACAAGGCCTTTATGTCTGTATCCTCCCCCAGGTTTTGTGGTTCCCCATGTAGTGTGTAATGTGTGTCACACTGGTTACTCACACAGTAACAATGAGAAACTGTATTTTATTAAATGTAATGAAACACAAGAAGTTACCTCTGAAACTTTATAAACAGTTTTTCCACGTTTGACAGTGTTGGATTTATTTTGTCCTTGAAATAATTATGATAACACACATCTCAGTCTGGAAAACAGCATTTTCTGATGTTCAGAGAGAGGATAAGGTCTGTTTCTGATTGTTTCACTTTTATTGGTGTTTTTAAAGAAGCCAGATAAAATCTGGCTTCTCTTCAGTTTCTTGTGTTTCAGCAAGGTTTATTTAAATGTACAATCAGCATTTATATTACAAAAGAAAATCCTTAAGAAAAAGCCATCAACCAAACACAGACAGCTTTTCTTCTGCAGTGCTCTGGAAAGGTGATTTGTGTTTCAGCAGTGAGGTCACATAAAATTGCTTTAGGACATGTAAAAGGCTCTGTAATCATTATGGGTTGTAATTTATGGTATAAACTCTTCTTACCTCACTATTTTCTTGATGTATTCTTAATATCCCTTACAAGGCCCAGCTGACAGGAGCAGTGGATGTGTGTGTGAAATGCAGCCCCTCTGAGATGTGACCACAGAGCAGCAAACTCTGCTGCAGGTGTGGATTGGCACTCACTGCTCTGAGCTGTGTTAACAGCAGCTCGTAGAGGTGACTGTCGACTCTGAATAGACAGAGCAAAGACATTTCTCAAGTTGAACTACGTGGGGTTTTGCACTTCCTGTGCTCACATGGGAATCAATGTTTTCTTTTGTCAGTTCTTCAGCTGAGGCTGCAACAGAGACGGACACGAGAACAGCTGGTGGACCAGGGCATCATGCCACGTAAGCCTTGTGTTATTTCATTTGTATTTCAATGCTGTAGGAATTCTGAACTGAATATATAAAATAATGAAGATAAGAGTCATTAAAAATAACATCAGCATTTGAAAAGACTTGGGGAACCCTTTTGGTAACCTCCATGAGCATGCAGTCAATTCATCACGTTACCTCGTGTTTCAGCCACTGTAATGAACACTCCAGGATTTGGAGACATAGTCTGATTCTCCTTTTATTTTCTCTATTTAAATAATTATGACTAATTTACTAAATAAACTGAATTATGTAATTGAGTGGACATTAGTAGCAAAGCCAGCTTTAAAGAGTAGGATGGCAAGGGCTGCCAAACAAATGAGGGGTGCACAGAAAACATCGAGAATCTGCAAGTGGATAGTGTGGAATGAGACTGGGCACAAGATAATAGGTCAAAATTGTCAAGAGATTCAGCTGTGAAAAGTGATTTGATCAAAAGCAAACAAAAACCCCAGCCATTGCAATATACCACAATTATGGCAAGTGATTAAAAATAGCCCAGTGTGCTGGTGAACTGTAGCTTGAAAGCACAGTGTCTTACAGCAAAGTCTGTTCTGGAGGGTTTCTGGGTGTGCAGGAGACCTGAGACTGCTTTGCTAAAGCATCTTCAGCCCCAGGTCTGTCGTGCTGATTACCTTCAGGAACAGAACAGTGTGTTTGCTTTTGAGTGGAACCTGGGGAAAAAACTTCTAAACTGCCAGAGAGTGTTAAAGGTTCTCCCCTGCCAAAAGTGTGGCAACTCAGCTGGACTGTGCCCGCTGCTGTTTCACCCTTCAACAATTCAGTTGAGGTGAAGCACTCTACAGTTTATGCTCTTTCTGCTGGATAGTGTTTTTCACTCTTTTAGGCTATTTAGCAGCTGACCATCATTCTGTTTTCTAATCTGAACATTTAAGGTCTCTATATTTTTTTTACATCAGCACCAATAGTTCCTAAGTCCAGTTCTCTCTAATAACAGCAAATGTGAGGTATGGTCAGACAGTAAATACAGTATTTATGGAACAGTATTTTGGCATTCTAAACCTTACCTAATAAAATTTCTACTGTGGAATTGTTTTGGTAAACAAACACATAGTGACAAAGTTAACTGTTATATGGTAATACCTGTATTCTCTGTAGGAGTTTTGCTCATCTCTGCTAAATACAGGTGAACCCAACAAGTATGAACCAATGTAAGGCTGGTCAGATGCAAACACGACTCTGAGATCACTGCTGCCAATTTTAACTTCTACTCTCCCTTCACAGCTTTGAAAAGTCCAGCTGCATTCCATGAGCAGATCAAGAGCCTGGAGCGAGCCAGGGTAAACCACTTTGTGTCAGCTTGTGATTAACATCTGGAAATGGATAGTCAGTTGTGTGTGGTACTAAATTCTCTTAAGTACATGGAAAATTAGCACTACAGGAATAACGTGCTTTTCTCTTGAAACAATTCATTAAAATAAAATATGGGTGTCAAATCTGAGAGGAACTTTCCTAAGCCTTCACAGATCAAGGTGGGGGATAAACTTATGGTCACAATGTAATGCTCCCCCCTGTTAAGGATGGGATACTTGGGTAAATTATGCTTGTGTAGTATTTCTGTAGCAAATCTAGACTATTGTGATTATATGGTGGTATGGGATCAAATCAGCAACATTCCCAACTTGTTTCAGGAAGATAGAAATTCCTTAGCACTGCTTAACTGATAGAAAACAAAAAAGCAAAATGAACCCCATATTCTGGCAGTGGTGCCCACCCATCTGCATGAAAGAGCACAGTTCGTTGACTGCAGATACAGGATTTATCAAACTCTTTGATTTTCTAGTAAACAGCAGTTAATGCCATTTCCCCCTCTCTTGTCAGACGGAGAATTTCCTGAAGCACAAGATCCGCAGCCGGCCGGACCGCTCGGAGCTGGTCAGGATGCACATCCTGGAAGGTACGGCCAGCTCGGCACCCCCTGAGTGCTGCCCAGGGGCCTCAGTGCCTCACCTGTCTGACTGAGTGACACTGCAAGGGGAGGCATTTCTGAAGCTGTAGCTGCTCTGTTCCTCTGCTTCTACAGTGCATTTGTTTGCTATTGCACATTGGTCATATTCTGTAATGGTAATTATACCGTGTATGGAGTGCTTCTATTGCTTCAATTCTCACTCACGCCCTAAAATGACCTGACAGTCTTGTACTTCCCCTTTGTAAAACCTTTAGAATATGAATATAATAATATAAAACCTAGAGGAGCTTTAATAAATGACTGTTCCCCTGCTGTGTTACCTTCCCTGTTGCTCGGGTCATTGCAAACAAGTCTCTTTATGAACGGGCTGCATTACTGTGTTTCCCCATAACCTTGCCAAGTAGAGATTACCAAATAACCATAAGCCAAGTGAATTTAATAGCCATTATTTTCCCAAACATGCCTTTGAATATTAAATCCTGGTAGGAGCTTCCACATTGATAGATCACATTCACATCGACAATCTCCATAATTTAACTGAAAAGTAGTTTTGAAGACTCAGATTTGTGCTAGAAGCTACTTTTAAAGGTAAACTTTTTAAGAAATTTGTGAAGAGAGAATCCAAAAATCAGTGGATTAATTAAATTTTACCACAACTCACACTGGTAAACCATTAGAGCAGCAAATGTTCCAGATTAAAACTGGCATGTGTTATTTTATATTCTCTGCTTTGTTGTTGGACATTATACAGACGTTTACCAAAGGTTTTACTGTGGTTAAAAAGAGATTACATTTCTAGAAAAACACAATCATGGGGATACACAACACCTACTCACATAATCTTACGTTTGCTTACTAATCTGAGAATTTTCAGAATACTAATGGGCTGCCTTTGATGAAAGTGGCATGGTTGTTGCAAAGGCAAGACAGGGAGGAGCTGGAGGAGGATGTTGAACTGTGTGTGTCCCCTCAGAGACCGTGGCAGAGCCCTCTCTGCAGGCCACGCAGATGAAACTCAAGAGAGCTCGGCTGGCAGATGATCTCAATGAGAAGATTGCTCAGAGACCTGGCCCGATGGAACTGGTAGAAAAAAATATCCTTCCTGTAGACTCCAGTGTTAAAGAAGCTATTATAGGCAAGTAGAAATCCCACAGCTGCTGTTCCTTATCCCCATGGCATTGTAAAATAATAATTTACCTCCTGAGGGTAAAGTTCACTAGAAGGAAACATATGCTAAGTTTATTACTATTTATCCTTTCAGCTTCTGAGTCCTAAACTGTCATCATTTAATAAAGTAATTCTATTTTTATTGGAAACTTGTAAGTTATATATATATTTTTATAGCTGGCGTATAGTACTGTCTTGGAAAAGAACTGATTTAGTACAAAATAATGGAAGAGCTGTGGCCATTGCTCAGTGTGTTGGAGGTGTCTGTGTGCACCCCACTTGTGCTGGACACACCTTTTAATCTCTTACTAAAACCACTTCTGCTACGCACTTGGGTTTATCCATTCCTTGAATGTGATTTAATATGGCTGTCATTGCATTCAAACCACAATAATTACGTAGGCACCATATGTTTAGGCTGCTGAAAACTGATCATTTTCCAGCAATTGGCTGATTCTGCTATGAATGTCTAAATTTAATTTGTACAACTGAAAAAAAAAATGTGTTTTGTTTGTTTCTTTGTAAACATTCTAGCAGTTGGACAAGAGAATTATCCTCAAGCTTTGGATGATTTTTCATTTGATGAAGACAGCAGTGATGCTTTATCACCAGATCAGCCGGCCAGCCAAGAATCCCAGGGCTCAGCAGCTTCCCCTGGTGAGCCAAAAACCAGTGACTCACCATCACCTGTAACCCCGAATGCTGCTACATCCACACAGGTACAGCTTTTAAATGTTTAAATCTTCACAGCGTGGGTTTGATCTGGAGCTGCAGAAATGGGGCAGAGTTTCTCATGGACTGAATCCATCTGCTGCTGCAGAGGGGCCTGGGACTCCCTTTGCTGTTTGGGAGCGCTCAGACTGGAGCCCTGGCTTAGCTGTTGGCAGTGATGAAATTCCCATAGACTGTAGTGAAGCCATAAATTCCCTGAAATTCATTATGACCCATAGAAGATCTGCAGCTTTCCCAGAAGTTGTTTGAAAGGTCGTGGCCATGGTTTACTCCAGCTGTTATTGATTACTTAATGTCTGTCTTCATTCTCAGCAAGGTCTTGAACTCATTAGAATTAAACTGAGCTGAAACAACAGTTGACGTCAGTTCCATTATCTTCAGAAAAGTCCATAAAAAAGGTTTCCCACAGAATTTAAATATTCTTTCCTATAGTTTTAAAATAGTGCCTAAGGAATTTTTTATTTAAGACATGAAAATGACGTTTATGTTGATAGTTCTATGAGGTTTTTAGTATTTTTCAAGTTACTTACAAAGAAAGGAAAATAACTGTGTCATGGCAGATAAAATGTTGTCTTTATAGTAGAGTTAATTGTGTGAAGGTTTAAAGAGCAATGGATTTGAATGAAAACAACTGTTTCCACAAAAAAAGTGAAAGAGAGCTCTTCTTAGAACAGTTTAATTTTTGTGATTTTAAATGGATAGTAACGTCACCTGCCCTATCTTTAAACACATTATAAAAATGCTGATGTAAAATAATTTGTAAAAACAGTGATGTAGGAAACATCAGGTGCTATAAATTATTTCTTTTATCTTCTGTGAGCTACTGAAAGCACAGGTTTACATGCACAAGCATAGTTACCTGGATGCTTTCTAGAGTATCTTGACAGTGCTTGCTTCCCAGGTGTTCATCTTCACCTTGGAGTTAATCACTAAGTTTATTCATTAATGAGAGATCCCTGTTTATTTAAAGGTTGCTATGTTTAGTTAAATAGATTATTGGTGATGGTCTGTGTCATAGTTCAGCCAGTAATTTTAAACTCAGTAGGAGCAGTTAAGAGGAGAGGCTTTGCCTTTAGTTGATTGCTGCAGCTGGGCAAGGCCTGACCCTGAGCTCCCGTTTCCCCCAGTCAGCCCATTTTCCTGATGCACATCACCAAAAGCAGCTGTATTACCACAGAGAAATCATTTATGCTTCAGATTGATGCATTTTACCACACTATTCAAGTTTATACTTCAGTAAATTATTTAGTAGAAAGCCTTGGTTTTTCATCGAAGCATTATATATACATGAAGTGACTTACAAATTATGGCAGTGTAATAATATTGCACTCAGCTTTGTGTGCTTGGGACTCTGAAGACCACGTTGTCCTGATGACCATGGACACTTGGCAGATGAGTAGTTCAGGGTCTGAAATTGCTCTCCTTGGTTTTCTTATTATCACAGTAGACAGAAAAACCATTGCAAAGTTCATGTTCAAAAGCAGCGCTGGACACAAAGTATGGCACTTCCATTTTAGTTGGGTTTCATGGTGAGAGAATATAATTTGTGTTGAATAAATTGAAAACAAACCACATGAAATTAGATCCCTAAGTAACGAGTTAGGTTCCTAATGGAGAGTTAAATAAAAATACTTGAAGTAATAAAGGCCAAAAGCTTTTCAAGTAGGAAGCATAGGAGATATGTGATTACAGAAACAAAGTAACAGAGCACTTGAATGTGATTGAAAAAGCACTTCAGATAGAACTTCAATCCTTTCCTTACGGATTTCATAAGGTATTAGAGCCACTTCTGTGAGAAGAGCAACACAAGCAGTTGCTCTTTTGCAGAATAAAACAGATGCTTACCTTGTTGTTCCTTGTGAAATAAAGAACAACAGCACAGCAGGTCTCTACAGGAGATGTGCCTGGGAATTGCTCCTTTATTCTTTTAATTTCCTCTGATAAATTTTAAATTTTATTACAATAAAAATAAAAAAAGAATGTTTTGAAAGCAGTGAAGTGTAGCCAGAGTTCTTTGCAAGGCCTCCTCCTCTGCGCATTTCCAGACCTCAGAGGATGTAACAGAACTTTGAGAACTTCAGCTCTTGTTGACTGGTGACCTAAAACTTGCTTGAACCCTCTGTATTTGCATCTGGTAAGGATTAGGCATTTTAAACACACTCTAAACAGATCAAATTGTGGTGCTCACAATCCACAAGACATTAAACAGTTCTCTTCAGAACAGCTGAAGTATTTTGCTTGATGGCACTGAATGTAATGACTGTTTTCTTAACACAGTCACTATGGTTTGTTGACCTGCTAGACGCTCGTTTGCATCCGGCACAAAAGGTGCACAAATCATATCACCTGAAAAGAGGGATCTATTCAGATGAAATAATTGTTAGTTTATGAAGTAATCAAGTTAAGAAGTCAAGACCTGTTAAATTCAGTTTTTTGAATTTAAAGACATGTAAAGTAAATTATATGCATGGTTCATTACCTCATCTGACACTGGCAGGTAAAATTGGAAAGTCTGTAAAAAGCTTTGTGTTTTTTGTAGCCATTAATCCTTTGTAGGTCAGGATAACAACTAAGTAAGGAAAAGTAATTTACTTTGGCAGGAGGAGAATGTTAAACACCACGATTTTCACACAAAGGGAATTAAAGAGGTGATTTGTTTTCTTGTTGGTGGGTGGTTTTAAGTAAATAAAACCAAAGTTTTATTTGATTGGGGTTTTCTAATTTACTAACTTTTTCAATTTTAAGAGTTTTGTTGTGCTGCCATCATGGATTTGTTTTCATAGCTTATAAAAAGTAGCTAAATATGTTTGAAGTCAAGTTATTCGTTTGGCTTCAAGAAGGATCAGAATGATGAATAATTAAAGATTATGTAATGGATAAGCCAAAGTAACAAACATTTAAAATGCCTTTTAGTTGGGACTTCATGAAAAGAAAACTGAAGAAATAGAAAATCTCGAGGTCTCTGGAATTCCTCTGTGCTTTGTGGTAATATGGTACAGGACACTTTGATTCAAAGACAAACTAAGTGCTTTTTTAACTTCTGCTCTAACTAGAATATGCCTTTTAAACTCGATAGCAACAGCAGAGCAGTCTGCTGGAATAAAGCATCCAGAACCCTTTTCAGAGGTTAAGTCCCTCTAACATCCCCTGGCAATTCCAGCAAATAACAGACCCCGTGTAGGTATCAGACATTTCCAGAGCAAACACTTTGAAACTTGGAAATAAAAATAGAGACATTTGTATCTTTAGCCCCCCTCTCAGACTGACACAGCCCCAGGACAGGCATGTGTACAGTGTTCAGTGACTGGGCATATTAAATCCTGCAGTCCTTTGTGGTACAATCTCATGGAAGAATAGTAGGGTATGGGAAAAATGAACTGGGGAGAAGTGCCTGTTGGACTTAATTAGAGAGCAAGTTTTAGAATTAATTTGGAAGAAAAAGGATATTTAGTGAAAGGAATATACAGGAAAAAGAAACAGCTTTTTAATAAAAGATTACCAGAAATGAGACACAAAGAGGGAATTTTGGGGTTGAAAGGAAATTGGTAATGGTGTCTATGGGAGTTGATTTGGGGACATTCTGATTTCATGTTACCATTAACAACCTTGACGTAAGAATGGGTCACCTAACAAAAGTAGGAAGCATAGTCAGCACACAGTTGGGTTGTTATTATGCAGAAAGAGCTGGCTGATCTGGCTCTTAGGAGAGAAATGGAATTGCAATAGAAGGAGCAAAGCCTTTCCTTCCCATGACAAAACTGTGGAATCCTGGGCACTGCTGCCTGCAGAGGGAACTGGGCACAGCACTCTGGGGCAGTGTTTGGCAGTGACTGGGGGCTGCTGGGGACCTCCCTTAAAATCACAGCTGTGTCAGAAGAGATGATTCCAGTGAAGTGTTAATGCCACTGTAAGGATCCAGGGAGCCCCTACATGGAATATCCTGTACATTCCCAGCTGCTCATATCCAGGAAAGCCTAAGAAAAGTGTTACAGAGTTACATGTAACAGGTAAGGATGAGCAGAGAGTGAAAAATGTCCTTGTGAGAAAAGAATGCAAATTCCTTCATATGTCTAGGATCACAAGGGCTGAGATCTGTTTATGTACAGAGTCTGGATCCCATCAGAGGGATATTTACCACAGAAGGAAATTTTAAAGTTTTAAATCAGAAAACAATTTCAGGACAATAAAAATTGATACGACAAATTTAAGCTGCTCAAAGTTTGATTTTTGTGTAGGAAAACTCTGGGGACTTTTCTGGTAGGTGTAGGGGTGTCAGGAAAAGAATAATAATAAAGGCCTAAGCCTATATGAAATTATAGCAAGTTTATAGAAGAAATTACAGACATGATGTTTGTAACATCAAGGGAACAAACTCCTGGACTGTACCTGCACAGTATCTTACACTTGTGCTGGCACTCAGGTACAGAAGAAATGCAGTCAGAGGTGGGTTCTGACTTCATAGACAGAAAATACTGAAAGCCTCAAATTTATAGTGATGAAGGAGTGTTTCCTTAGCAAACTAAGTAGTCAAGGTAAGAAACTGGTTTATTTGCTATGTTGTGTGCCAGAATGTGCTTTATAGAACACTTGTAGGCATGCACATGAAAGAGTTATGTTTTCACCATTCCTTCTAAAAATATTTTGTGGCTTTGACATGATAGTAAATTGTCTTAACCTTTTCACCTTTTTTTTCAGTTACTCAGGTGGTGGATGTTTTTAATGTTTCTCTTTTTCCTTATATTTTTTTAATACTAGTATCCACCTTTAACCTCTCCAGTTCCTGAATTTCTCAAAACTCCCTCAACAATTGAACAGCACGTCACACGTTCCACTGCTGCCACCACCCTGACTACAAGCACTGTCTCTGCAGCAAAGCCTGGGCCAACCTTAGTGAAGGTGGGTACTGTGCCCTTGGCATCTGAGGACAATATTCCTTCTCTCTGTCCTTTTCCAGTGCTATGTTTTATGGAAAAGTCCACGGGAAAGGTTAGAGTGCCTGTAGCTAACAATTAACTTCTGCCAGCGGTCAGGGGACACACGGGGTTGGTGACTCAAAGCTTTTGTGTGCTAAGGTCAAGTAACACTTGCAGGGACCAGCTCATTACTCCAAGAGGTCCCTACAGTACAGCTGACAGAAGTTTGCATGCAGAATTATGCAGTACATCACTTATGGAAGCAATTTTTAAGAAATAAGGACAATACCGACTTTCTGTGGTGAAATGAATCTCTTCTAACCTGGTTCTGTATGGAGAGTCATTTAATAGGATTTTGCATTCACAGTCTACCTGTAACCAAACTGGTGAAAAGCATTGCCCCTTTTCCAAAACTATTTTCTGAGCTGATTTAATGTATGAGCAGAAGGCATGAGAGAAGTTACTGTATCCTTCTCTTTTAATATCTGAAGAACATACTCAATTCTCCTTCTGCACTGACCTGGCCAGCAGCACAGAAAACCATTTCAAATACACTGAGAGAGGGATTGTGGTAGAAGAGGTCTATAATGTTTCAGTAACTTTGCTGTCTTCAGCTATGTAATGAATATATGCATATAGACTTCTACTAACTACCTCAAATGAGCTCAGTTAATTTACCAGGATGACCTCTAGCATTTCTAGTGTAAATTTGTGGTATTAAGTTCTAGTATAAATGTGGCTTTATCCTTTGAAGTCACTGGACTCATAGCAGCTTAATTAATGCAGGACCCTAATGACAAATTCAGATATCCCCCAGAACAGGCTATGTGTGTAATAAATGTGCATGGATCAACCCAGCATTTCTGCTTTGATACCTTCTGTATGACTTGGTAACTGCCTTCCATTTGTCACTCTAATTTGGAAGAGCCCATAAAGGAAGAGAATTTTCCATTTGAGCAGGTATTGCTAATAAAGATATTGCTGAAAGTTTCATAAGAGTAATCCTGTAGTTTATAGGACTTTTAATGGAGACCTCCTCTAAGTGCCTGACATGTTTACAGATGGGCTTTGGGATCCTGGCTTTCACTTGCACAAGTGCTAAATGGCTTTGAACTCCCTGTTCAAGAGCAATGCCTCTTTGCAGTGACAGGTCATGACTAGGAGAATCCCTTACCTTTATTTGTGCTCTCTCTTAAAAAGCAGTCACCAGCTGTGTCTTGTGAGCCCTTCCTGTGCAGGGTGTCAGCCAGCTGGAGTACATTCACCTTCCAGGATGGGAGATGGTTCTCTGGGGGGGTTTGCAGGGGTTGTTGTGTTCAGCAGCTCTCGGCAGTGCATGTGCTCAGTGTGCCTTAGCTCTGCACCAGGCATAACTGCTTTAAATGACATCTGTTACAGCTCTTTCAATCTTTTCCACCCATAAACAGCAAAGCCACCCAAAGAACCCAAATGATAAACATCGGAGCAAGAAATGTAAAGAACCCAAGCCAAGGGTGAAAAAATTGAAGTATCATCAGTATATTCCACCTGATCAGAAAGGTGAGAAAAATGAGCCACAGATGGACTCCAACTATGCTCGCCTGCTACAACAGCAGCAACTGTTTTTGCAGCTGCAGATCCTGAGCCAACAGCAACAACACTACAACTACCAGACAATTCTGCCTGCACCGCTGAAGTATGTGAAGCATTGTTTGTGTCCTTTACAGAAAAGACATTTACATCACTTATAGGCTTAGTGCTTTACAAGGAAATGTGGTTTGCAATTGTTGAGATCGTTGGAACCAAGAAAACTGAAATGGCATTGTGCACCCCTGGGGGTATTATTTGCCTCATTTAACAAGGTGATGAGGTGGTTCTCTTGTTAAAATATTCCTGAAGTCTGATAAGCCTTGAAGTAGTCCTAGGTTTTTTTGTGTTTCATAGAAACAGAACCTCTTACCTGTCAGGTGCATTTTTTCTGACTAGATGAATATTTGAAACTCAGAAGTTTTGACACCTTTTTCACTCGAATATGTCGTAGGTAGGCAGAGCAGAAGAGGTTACAGACAGTGTCTTTTACAATGACACATACTATTATTGTGGTTTTATTCTCTTTTTACATCAGTTTCACAAAACACATTCTTGCAGTTTACAGTAAGACGTAACAGTCATTTTAAATGAGGTAAGGTCTGTATATTGTTTATAGCCTCATCTCTAATGCTTATGTGATTCCTCATCAGTGTTGATCTTTAGCACTTAACAGTGAGAAGTACACTTGCTGATTTATAGGCAGAAGCAGTCAGAAAAATAAATGTTTAAAGAGTTGCCAGCACTCCATGGCAGAATGAGAAGCTGTTTCATTCTCATCATCTAAGACCAGTCACTTCCTAGAAATGCTAAAGTGTAACATGCCACAGTCACACAACCCCAAATTAAATGACTTTCAACTGTTTTTTAAATGAGTTTTCACTCAGTTATTTTTCCTCAGCAAGTGAGGCTAGAAAAGTTAAAGCTGCCATCTGTGGTTGTATTTATAATAACCATGTATCCTAACATTTGGCCTAGTGGTGTTTCTGCCTGCTTACCCACGCTTCTTATGTTCCATTTACTGACATTTCAGAAACATTTCTGCAGAAATCAGCTGAACCAAATAAAAGAGCTGACTTACGGTACCCAGTGTAAATGATGGCATTTTTAATTTTTTTACCACTACTTTGAGATCCTTGTATGAGATTCTTCTTTGAGTACAGCTGGTAAAAATGCATCCTCTTCCAAGTAAACTGCCTTACTGTGTGTGAGCGTTGGACATGTATGTAGGGTAGATACACAGAGTTCAATATTGGGGGGTTAAAAAACTAAGTAATTGCCCTAGCTGATGATTAATTTGTATAACTTGAGTTTGCAGTCCATAGTATCCTTTGGGGATACCATGACAACAGTGAAAACTACGAAGCATAAATTAGTACAGTTAACTGCACAGAAAATAACATATCAACATACCACTCTCTGTTATGTTTTCTTGTCTGTTTTGTCTTACATTTAATGGTAATGTCTTATGTTAAATATGTATTTGTAAAAAGTTAATTTGTTCATTTGCTTGATAGACATTCGATTGAGAATTTCTTGGTTGAAAACAATGTCATTAGCATTGACATTATTGCCCCTCTTTTTCTTATTACCTGAAGGCCACTGAATGACAAACAGAGTAACAACGGGAACACGCCATTGAACACTCTGAACAACAACAGCACCCCAACATCAGCTGCCAGCTCCCCCAGGCAGAACAGCAGCGTGCCCAGCAGGAAACCTGGACCTCTGCCTGCCAGCCTGGATGACCTGAAGGTGAAGGATCAGAGGGCTCTGTCCGTTCCTGTGCATTACTGCAGCTCATGAGCTGCAAACTGTGGCTTGTCAAGAATAAGCCCAGTTGTTGTTACCAATGCAAACTGTCCTTTCCTCCTGACTGTTTAGAATAAGAGTGTCAGGTTTTTCATACACAACTCTTCTGATCTTAAACCTTTGTTTTGATTTGGCTTCCTCACATGCATAGGTTCTAGAAATGGCATTTCTTTCCCAAAGAATTAGAAGAGGAAGAATTTCAGACACATTGTATAGGTACCTCATTTTGATCCCTTGGATAAAACTACAAGATTCACTTCATGTGATGTTTTAGCCCAGGCAGATTTCAACTCTGGAGCAGCAGTTTCCTCGTGACAATTGCAGTGTATCAATGCAGAGGTTTGGTTAAGCAGTATAAATTAAAATTGCCCTAATAAAAACATGTTCAGGTCACTGCTATAAAGCCAACACAGAAACAACACCAGTAAAAGAGAATAGAAAGTAAGAGATCTTTTTACCAGGGTTCAAGACATCATCTGAAAATAAACGGCAGATTTTGTAGAAGTTTCATGGCTTTATAAATCACTGTGTAAACTGTTAAACTGCACTGTGAAGGCACTGCATAGGATTCTGTTCCTTCAGAAATACATGAACAGGAAATCATACTGTGAGGGGCACGATGAAAGTGAACCCAAGGAGCCTGTGGGGGTTTGAGACTGAGCTCTTCGCAGAGCAGGGACATGCCGAGCCTGAGCGGCGGGGTAGGGACATCTAGTGGGCAGTTCATTCCTTCCTCCCGGCCTCTACCGAGGGCTGGCTTTGGGAGGGGTGGAGTGAGGATTGCTTTAGATTTGAGGGGTAAGAAAAGGAAGTTTTGGAAGATCATGTGGAGGTGGTTTTACCACGGAATAAGCTGAATCAGTTCTGATTGAGAGTTCAGAAATGGATTGTTGGAAAATAGAAAACTTGGAGCAGACTGGGGGAAACAGCTGATAGTCATCGTTAGGTCGAGTTATTTAACAGAAAATTGCTATTTTTTTTAGAGATGTAAAGTGTATTGCTGTGACTTTTCATCATTTCCAAATCACAAGGACCTCCAGCTTAATTTCTAGACTGGCTAAGGACTGAAACATTCCTGAGGTCGCTGTCTTTTATTCTACTAGAGGTAGCTCTGACACACAGAGAGCCCAACTCTGCAGTTCGCTGCGGTGTATGTTCATCATAAACAGAAGCCAGTCATTGTGACTGTTCTTTTTTAATTGATATTTTGAAGCACATAATTAATTTACACTCAACACATTTGCACTTTACTTCTTCTAAAAGCTTATTGGAAAACTGAGAACATTTTTCTATCAGTAATTAATTTTGACTCCTTATACTGTCTCTGTTTGTAAAAGAAACCCAGATGGCACATAAGCTGTAACTGGTTGGTTGCTAATTAGCAGGAGAGCCTTTTGTGTTTGATGGGTCTATTGAGTCATCCAACTGACCTGATAAAGTTTCTTAGAAACAGATCTGTGTGTCTGATGGTGGAACAAAGGGGTTCAGCGTTTTTATCAGTGCTTTTATCAGCAGCACTGCTGCCATCATCTACAGGTTTGCTCCTCAAGTTTTTAGCTCAGAACTGAAGCTTTTTGTGCATTTTTTCCATTTTGAATATTTATCATAAGTTTGCTGCTGATCTTTGTACAATGGAACACTACTAAGACTTTGGCCACCTAAAGAGTGAAGTAGGTAGCAGGTCATGGAAATGTGGTCATGGATCATGCATGCTGCCAGAACCCAGAGGTGGAATAACTGGCAAAAAATGATTTTTCTTATTAAGATGTAATAAAGTAGAATATATATCAGCAAGTTTAAATCTCTTTTATTATCATGCTTTATTGCAGGTAGCAGAGCTTAAAATGGAGTTGAAATTGAGGGGATTACCAGTGTCTGGAACAAAAACAGATCTCATTGAGCGTCTGAAAACCTACCAAGATCTTAACAACAACGGGGTCGCTACAAGTACCTCTGTGACAGTAACCACTTCTGCTGGGGCCACAGGTAACACTGGGGAAGTGACTGTGGCATTTCCTGTCGCAACACTAAATAAACCAGCGGCTAATCCCATATCCAGCTTCCCTCCAGAAAAAACATCTACTGGAGCTGGCAGCAAAGTAGTGAACACTGAAAACATCAGCTCTCCTTTGCCTATATCCCCCTCTCCCTCAGAACAGTCGAGTCTAAGCACGGATGACACGAGCATGGCAGATACTTTCACGGAAATGATGACCATGATGTCGCCGTCGCAGTTCTTGAGCACGTCCCCCCTGAGAGCAAACGCGAGCGATGACACCCAGAGCCGCAGCAGCATCTCAGCCATAGAGCTGGACGTGGCAGAGAAGGACCGCAAGCTCCAAGAGAAGGAGAAGCAGATTGAAGAGCTCAAAAGGAAACTGGAACAAGAGCAGAAACTTGTGGAAGTATTGAAAATGCAACTTGAGGTTGAAAAACGGGGACAACAGCAACAATCTCAGCCTTCTGGGAACTCAGCTGCGTTGGAACAGAAGCAGTTCAGTGCTGCTATCAAAGATGAAACTGCTCCTGCTGACTGCTCGAGTACCGCTCCATCCGTACCTGTGGCCAGCCATTCCTTAGGACAGGCAGTGTACACTACTGGCCAGAATCCAGTTGCCAAAAAGGCAGTTGTTATCAAGCAGGAGATAGCCGTGGCCAAAGCTGAACCTCAGAATGCCATTTCTCAATTTTATGTTAATCCACAGAGGCAGCCTCAAACTGCAGTTGTTGCCCAACCTCAAGCTTTATTAACTACCCAAGGAACTGCACAGCTGCTCCTTCCACTGTCTATCCAGGGACCGAATTCTGCCACTGCAGTGCAGCTACCAGTTGGAAATATCAAGTTGCAGGTAAGGGGGTTTCTATTTTTCATCACGTAAACTACATGGCACTACCTTTTAATTTAGTGTAAGGAGGTAAATGTGGTGCTTGTATGATTAACTTTAAAATCAGGCCTAGCCTCTCTGCTTGAGAGAAGTGGCTGATGTGCTGTGGGCTGAGCCCTGATGCAGCATGTGCACCGTCGTATTCAGCAATCCTTACTAGGGATGGAAGTATGGGGGATGGGCCCCACAGTCCACAGTGCAAGATCTACACACCCAGATCTCCATCTGAATTGTGCTAAAATCCTGGTAAATTCTTTAAGAACATTAAGCAGCTTGTTCTGGTGTTTTACTTTACTGTTCCTCCAGAAAGTTTTCCACTACCAGCTAAATTTGTCTTTCGTGAGGCTAGACACACTTCTTGCCTTCCACTGGCCATTAAAAATTACTGTGACCTTCTTAAAAACAACCTTTTTCTTGCATCAGTACTTTTGTCATCTGGCTACTCAAACCCAGTTCTTCTAGTCCTTTCTTACTGATTTATGCCCTCTCTGTCCCTTGTTATTTTCACTGCTATCCACTGGACTCTCCAGTTTGTCTTTATCTTTCTTAAACTCTCTTGGCAAAATAAACATCACCTTTTAGCTGGGAACTCGCCAGCACCAAACAGTAACAATTTTGTTTCCTGTGCACAGTTCAGGCTCATCCTCCCCAGAACACAGGCTATTGCTATTCTGCATAATCTGTGCCATGGGTTTTTACATGATGTAACTCACTGTGAGATACAAATAATGCAAATATTTTATCTTCGTCCTTTAGGCTCAATCACAAGCTGGAATACAGACCCCATCACAAATTCCTGCTCCTATTTCTTCCTCTGGCCTGGTCCAGACAGCTCCTCAGATGCACACTGCACAGTCAAACCAAAGCCCCAGCACGCAGCACGCACTCGCTCAGACCCAGCAAGTCAGAAAGGTTTGTGCATGGCAATAAACATTAAGATAAATAGTTCTGTAATCTAATCCCAGGCAGTGCTTTTAGAATCTTTTATGTGTCCTCTGTGTTATATAAATGAGCAAGTCACCTAACACCTGTACCACGTTTGTGTGTGGGGTACAATGGGCTTTTAACCTCCCTTTCCAAAAATTTTTGTAGGACTTTATTTTTCAGTTGCAAATAAATACGTAAGTCTAAAGACTTTTTGTCCTAATGGCACTCTCAGGGCATGACTCTTTACTGTGTCCTTCCTCGTGCCTGGCACCAGTGGAGTACCAGGTATTCCATTCAGTTCCTCTTATTTGCCACTGGCTCAAAATGGAAGAGTCGTACAGGCAGTTCTCCAGAGAAAGCTTTTACCTGTGGCTTCAGAGATTTATTATTTTATAGAAATTCCTTTTGGTTTTCTTACTTTCCTTGTTGATTCCTCCTTACTTATGAAAAAGTATGGACTCAGATACTGAGGATGGCAATTCCAGTGAGCCAGAACTCCACTATACCTCTTCCTGAGGAATGCAGGGAATTCAGAGAGAGATCCTCCTCTTCCTCTCTACCCAAAACAATCAGCTCTGTAATGTCCCTTTCCAACAGATGTTCATCAGCATTGGATGTAGAGTTGTGAGTACCAATCCAGTCATGTTCATGTGGTAATTGATAGCAACCCCTCAGCACCAGTCATTGCCAAAGAAAAGGTTTTCTCCTCCTCTGAGCCTCTTCCAGGCTGACTCTGTGATTAGGAACTTGGAGATTAGATTTGGACCTTCATTGTTTTCTTATCAGTGCTATTGATTATAGGACTCATAGTACTTAGGACAAGGAGGATTTTCACTCTGCCTGGAGGAATAACTGAAATTCAGGATGAAGAGGGTAATTGCTACAGTGTGGTGTGCAACTGTTACAGAATATCTCAGCCTTCCGAGTTTATATTTCAGTTTGCATCATGAACCCCATGTGATTTGGGGATTGGAGCTGTGCAGTGTCACCGAATCTGCTTCTGCTCGGGCTCTAGTTCCAGATAAGAATTGATCTTAGAAGAGGAATGGTTGTGCCTTGCCATTCTCTAGAGAGCTGGCTAACAAAGGGAACACCACTCAGTGGGCATCAAAGGGCATTCAGACAGCTTGTTCAATCTGTTTAATTTCATGGGCAGTGAGGTTATCCTACAGCTGTCAAAACTAACCTCTGTCCAAAAAGCAGGTGTCAGGGATTCTCTGGGATTTGGTGAGAGACTGATCTTACCTTGTTAATTCAACAGGTCCCGTACAGAAATTTTCCAGTCATCCCGAGGCTCGTGCCAGAGACTAGCAACCTGCTTCCTTTGTTGCCTGGAAGTGCCTTGAAATGTCTGCAGGACATAACCCAGAGTTGTGCCCTCTGATCTTCCCCCTTTCAGATCAGTTGTCATGAAGAGCACAGAGTTCCCAGCAGAGTTGCCTCTGACCAGACCATGCTGGAGCTGCACATCCTGCCTGTCCTGGCTGGTTTTCTCCCATGTGTCCTGCCCTGCTTTACAGCAGACCAGGCAGCAGAACAGCACTGCTTTTTACATCAGAACATAAAAGCTGCTCTTCATCTCCCTTTAACTCAAAAGTATGAGAAGCAGGATGCTGCTTGGAATCATTTCTAATGAGTGTATGGACTATGAGTTGACAAAATGAAAAGTCTGTTAACACCAGTAACCAGATTTATAGTTGATACCCATGGCCATCATTTATATCTTTTGCCTCTGCTTCAGTGCTCACAGATACCCATAGCTGAAAGGTGGCACAAACCAATTGTTCTGTCCTAAAAGTGGCAGCACAGGACAGGTGTGGATACATGTACCAGTCTGTATCAGGCCAGAAATAAGTTCATGTTAGTGACTGTCCACTAGGTGGGGAAGTCATGGATATGCTATTGAAGTGTTCCATAGTCTTTGGAATCTATTTTGGAAAAATTATATTACCCTTTCCTCGTGCTTCTGGGAAACCGGAGGAAAATATTTCTAGTTATCAGTGAATGAAAGTGTGTCACAGCACAGAGCTTCTTTCAAAGACCAGTTGTTCTGGACTTATAAATTACTCCACTGGAGGGGAAAATCAGTATAAATAACATTCACTTAACAGGGAATTTAAGCAAGCAAGTGCTTCAGAAGAAAAAGGTTTCATTAATGTTATTTACCCAATGTTACTAATTTTTTTTTTTTAAAACCCACAATCTAAAACTGATCTGTTAATCCTTTACAGGTTTTCCCACCTACCACATCAAATGCAGTGTTTTCCTATCAGACTGCACCAGTTACAACACCGTCACAATCTTTTATTAATAAACCATCCAACTCTAACATTCACACTGGTGGTAATCAGGTCCCCCCTGTGCAGAATGGACCTGCTACTCCCAGTAAGGTAAGGTCAGCCTGACAGTGTTCTTATTCTGATATAACATGTGACTGTATATACTGCAGTTCACTCAAGGAAGAATGTTTGTAGATTTTAATAATGCTTATAATGTGCAATGTGTGAGACAGAAACTCTCATTTCATCCCTCTGATTACCTTACACTAACGTGTAGAATAATCGTAGAACTTTGCACGTCCTGAACTCCCTGAAGTACATTATTTAGTCAGGACTTTCTATTTCCCACAGCCTGGCTCCCCATCTCAAGCCCAGCCCTACCTTGTGCAGCAGCCCCTCTTCAACAACACAGCGTCCAAGACAAAAGACCCTCCTCGTTACGAAGAGGCCATCAAGCAGACCCGCAGTATTCAGACACCGCACCGTGAGGTGGTTATTTGCTCCTGTTTGGTCTGTTATAAACGTTGTTTCTCTCTAGAACTATCAAAACTATTGCTTATTTTAGGTTTGTTTTAATTTGGTGTCAAAATTTTCTACCCTGTTATTATTTTCATAACTGTGTTTAGCTACGGAACTCCCATTTCATTATTCTTATATTGGAGCAAGTTTTGCAACACTTTTGAGACCTTCGTAAAAGTTTTCGCTTTTCCTAGACTTGGTTGGGAAAGAATGGGTCTGTGGGGAGTTTTGTTACCTTTTGCTTAAGGTTCAGATATTCAGGAGATGGCTAAACAGAGATAAGAAGTTCCTGAAAGCTTACTCCCCCTTTAAAAATAAAAGAAATTATTACAAATTGGGAGAAAAAACCAAACGTAGCCAATAAAATGGATCTTACATGATGGCCATTCACGGACTGTCTGTGAGGGAAAGCAGTTCAGGGTGCATCCCCAAAGTCCTGCAGTTATTACTGCCCTGGTACAAAACAGGATTAGTAGTTCTGCTCTGATCCCTGGTTTTCTGCACCTCTGGATTGCCTTCATGAAATCTTTGTCATGCTTTTCAGACTTTTTTCCTATTCCTTTGTACTTAAACAGACCACAGGGATTGCAAGTGTCTCACCAAACTATTTCTCTGTTTTCTAGATTGACAATTGTATATTAAGCATTTTAGTCTTGATCACCGGTTATACTTATGTACTATTGAGAGAAGCCAGGAATTAGTTAAAAATACTACATGAAAGAGAATAACCTGTTTTTCTCCTGCACTGCAGATTTCCAGTGCACACAGTCAGCAGATGGATGATCTGTTTGATATTCTCATCAAGAGTGGAGGTAAGCTCATGGACAGCTGTGGGATGCAGAGATTCAAACCTGGTCATAAAAAATCAGTGCTACAATCAAACAAAGAATTCCCTCAGGGAGCAGAGTTAGAAGCTATCCAGCCTGGATGAAGCTAAATTTTTGAAAGTTTGCAATAATTACCAATTAAAGATTTACCAAAACTCATAGTCAACCTGCTGTGGAATGTCACTGCTTGCAGATTAATTCAGGGAGACCTTTGCAACGTGAATAATCTGTTCAGCATTCAAATGATTAAAATAACACCTTAGATTAGCACAGATATATTTTATCAAATTTGGAAGAGATGAGCAAGTCCATATAATGTTTATTGAAATTATAAAACAAATAGAATAAGGTAAGAGTTAAAGCACGTTGATACTAAAATTTCATTAAATATAACCATGTCTTATCAACTATAAACATCAAAGATGCATTCCTGGGAGAAGTATGTGTGAACTACATGAATAAGTAACAACTTTATGTCAGCTAAAATAAGGGAGCTACCAGAAAGGCACTGAAATAACTAAAGTAATACAGGAATAGCTTGGCAATAAAAGGAGGCTTTCAGGCATAATTAGGCTTGGTGGACTAAGGAGCCATTACAGTCCTGGGAAGTGCTGTGGTGCCTGGCAGTTCAATCAACATAATGGTTTGTAACTGCTGTCATAGTAGATCTCGACAGCAGTGAATGCCAGGACAGAAGTGACTGATTGGAGGCTCCTGGAAGATTTTAGCCATATTCTAAACATCAGAGTATTTTTGCTTTTTCAAAGCAAATTGCAAAGTGAGCTGAAGAAAAGGTGAGTAGACAGTGAGAGACTGAGACAAGTGACCTGTGCAGTGAACAACTCAAGCTAAATTAAAACTCTCAGTGCTTTTATTAAAATATTGCCCAGGTAGTTCAAAGAAGTTCTGCCTCTGGAACAGGGAATGCAGGAAACATTGGTGTGCTTACTTCAATATTTGCTCTGAGTGTTATGTTACTAAACCTGTTTGATCTTAAAGGTAACAACTGCTCCATATTTGCGAACTTGCATCAAAAAAGCAGATGATTCCTGATCATCTTAATGAAAAAACAAAGTAAAGCATTCGAGGGTCTTGTACTTAATGTAAGCAAGCTCTGCACTGGAAAATGTTCAGTTTACTAATCTATTTCAGGAGAGTGAGAATGTCTGTTCAGTAAGCATTTAATAGATGCTCTTAAAGGTTTTAAGAACATGGGTTTTTCCTTGGAAAAGCAGCGCAGAATATATTGTCAGGTATATTTTTGCTGGCAGAAACATCACCTTGTGCTAGAGGATTTATTTGCATATCCTGGTCTGTCTTATTTTTAGACTTCATTCACATCTAAGAATAAATTGGAACTTATGCCTTATTTCCTTTTATTGTTACTGCCACTACCTTACATGGAACTTCTTGACAGAAGTGTAGTTTAAGATTCTAGAATCAAGAATAAATGCATTCTAATCATACCAGTTGATCTCTTAGACTTTCAGTTAATCTGAGTGGGCACAGTATTAACAGGGGTGAAACTGAAAATTGGTCTGGGTACTCATCTCTAAATGAGGAAATGTGTTGGTACCATAATTATTCTAGTTCATCAGCAGAATAAACATGAAGGAGGTAACGCTAAATCTGGAAATATGTTCCATTTTTCATCAATATTCATATGCTAATTGGCTGATGTATTGCTGAAAGCAGAACTCTGGAACTGGTTTTAAAATACTTTGTTGGTCATGGGGTTTCTGTCAGAGGCTGATGTGTGGAGTGTTAGTATTGTCAGAGCAGCAGAGTGATTCCTACTCCATTCGCTGTGGATGCATCCCAGAGTGGGCAAAGAGGGAGTGAAAGTTGTCAGCATGAGGATATTATGTCAGTGCCTTTTCTGAATTCAACAGTGGTTTGTTTGGTTTTTTTTTTAATTACAGAGATTTCCCTTCCAATTAAGGAAGAACCATCTCCCATATCTAAAATGAGACCAGTAACAGCCAACATCACTACAATGCCAGTGAACACAGTGATATCCCGTCCACCTCCACAAATCCAAATGGCCCCTCCTCCTGTGTCCTTAGATCCAACCAGCAATTTGTATGTAAGTTTGGAAAACCAACTTGAAGCCCTTTTGGATGGAACTTTACCATCAGGTAATGAAATTCCTCAACTGACAGGCAGTAATGAGGACAGAGAGTCCTTTTCTCTGATTGAAGACCTCCAGAATGATCTGCTTAATCACTCGAGCATTTTAGATCACTCTCATTCACCCATGGAAACATCTGACCCACAGTTTACCACTAATAGTTCTTGTCTGTCTCTTGACCTTCCCGATACAAATTTGGACAATATGGAATGGCTGGACATTACAATGCCCAGCTCCTCATCTGGACTCACCCCTCTCAGTTCTGCTGCCCCGAGCGTGTTTTCCACTGACTTTGTAGATCCACAAGATCTACAGTTGCACTGGGATTGAGCTGTAGCCAATGAGAACACGACCTGCAAGTCTCTTCACAGCAGAGGTCCATTGTCATACCATCCTGATTGCGGTTCAGATAAATTAGGACAGTAATGTTTGGAAGAACAAATGCTTGAAGCTGATTCGTTATTGATTTCCAAGTTTACAACAGTGAATTACTTTATGCACGTACCGGTAATGCAGATCAGGGCCCTCTGAAAGCTGTATTTCACTAGAGAGGATGATTGTACTTACTGATTAAAAGTACCCCAAGGTAGATGCATCACAAATATTTGAGAAAGAAGTTATGTCTCTGACTTTGTAATGCTTAAACGAGCAACACAACGTGGCTGAACTTAGAGTGAGATGTCAAGTGTCTGTATTGACACAGTGAGCAAATGTCTGAGGGAGGGGAAGGAATCACTGCACTTCATTGTTCCTGTGGACAGCCTGAGCCAGGGTCAGAATCCATTGGGAGGGCAAAGGCAAGTAGAAGCACTGGCTGGTTCAGTGAAACTTCACATATCTAGTCTCTTAATTTGTTCAAGTTGTTTTTATATTTTGGTTTTGTGGTTTCTAAAACACTTCCCCCATTCTTTAATCATGAGGGAGGAATTTAACTGCATCCAAAGGGATATTAAGTGTAACTGCAAGAAATCCACTGTAGCTACACCAGGTAATATTGAGAACACTGAATTTTCTATAGCAATGCTCTGGATTTAATAGATAGGTTTTAATGTGTATATCAGACGTTATTTGTATACTCTTTTAACATTATATAGCTTATTTTTGTGGACAGAGGGGAACACAGTGGTCTTCAAACAAGAGATTATTCTAGTGGAAATAAATATCCTACTTTGCTTTGTGTTTGAGGATATTTGTTAGATCGTTGAATCCAGTATCTCAGCAGATTAGAACAGTTAGAGGAAGTAGAAAAGTTTAATTAATGCTTTTGTACACTTATGATCCTGCAAGCATCTATGCAAGAACAGTCCCAGTGCCCCCAGTAAAAGGCGTTTGTAGGATGAGGTCGAGTTGCAGGGGACAGTACTGACAGGACAACCATCATTGCTTAAGGAGAACTTTATCTCTTGAACAGTTTTGTCTACCACTACATAACATCAGGGAAGCCAACAGAGAAGCTACTCAGTGAGAATCCTAATAGTATCAGGATGTACTGTTTTGTGATAAGAAGGCATATTTCATACCTGAAACAGATAATAGCAAAAATTAAGCTCTTACAGCACAGCACATTTTTTTAAAGCCCTCAGTTGTTGTCTTCAGAGTCTATTATGAAAGCAGTTAGTAAAACAAGCAAAAAATGCAAATAGAATTAATATACTTTGACATTCTATGGTTGTCTCTCAGGTAATAGCTGTTAAATGTTGCCATAGATGATAGAGGCTGATAATCAAACAAAATTGGAATTATTTCTTACTAGGGAATTTTTAAATTAAGATAAAAGGAAACAGTCCCCTGTTTCCTGAAATAGGGAAACATTTTCTAGTCTGAAAACTGATCTCACTGCATGGTTCTTTCTTCCCCACTAACCTACAAAAACAACGTTTTGTAGGAATGAATGAACAAATGCCCTGAAGCTTTTGCTTCCTTCTTAGAACAATGACACGTATCAAAGAAATGCTGGAACCAGAAAGTAGTTGTAACCTATATAGCAACCTTTATCACATCTTAAAAACCACAATCAGTTAACATCAAACAAAATCCTTTTGTCAAAAAGTTTTGTGGAATTAACTGCAAATTTATACCTCCAGATACAATGCAGCCTGGTTTACAACTACTACAGAATTCATTGGCTTCAGATAAAGTAGTGGATTATGTCATCGATTCAGGGTTTAAACCCATATCATATGTTTGCATCATATCAGTTACAGCACTTTAAATCCTTCTATCTCTTCACTAATTTTACTGGCCAAGATTTGCTTCAATATGAAACTAAGTACAGCAAAACAATCAGTGGAGATTTTAATTACACCAAGTTGAAAGACGTATTTCCTTGTTCTTTCTCGCTGTGCCTGCAGTATCGAGTACAGTGTTACACGTGGACTGTCTGCCTTAAGCTTGGATGGTTTAGGACTCTTCAAGAACACTGAACACTCACATTCAACTTTTTGCATTCCTTTTTAGCACGCTCTCTTGGGAGCTAATACTCTGAGATACTAAGTGCCCTCAGCTGTTAGGAGAGTAAGAATTAAGGACTCTTGGTCTGGTAGGAACAACTCTGAATGAAATTTAGTGTTCTGCAGTACTGTCAGTTCATTATGTGTGATACACCAGACATCATACCACATTTGTGTGGTTAGAATTATCCCTTTTTGACCCTGCCTTCTGATTAAATAAGAGGCAAGTAAATTAATTTTTAGAGGACAAATTAACCTAGAGCAACTGTACTGTCATTTTTGATGTGCATGTAAATAGAGCTTGAAACTGGCAGAGTCATCTTGCTACCAAACTATCGTTCTTGGCAGTGTAGGATGTTAACTAACCCATAGGAATCTATGTGCAGAAATAAACCCAAACAGTTGAGCTGTCTTGTTAGCAGTACAGTGTAGCTTTCTACTCTTTGACAAAAAAATTTAAAAATTAAGGGATCATTTTAGTTTCTGAAGTACAACTATTCTAGTGTAGGGAATGTGTGATTACTTTTTTGTACATTTCAGAATTGTGTATTAAACCTTATATAAAATGGTTTGCTTTAGACTTTGTTCTGAAATGTGATATGTTTGCCATAGTTGTATATGCCTGTTTATGGCAGAAATAGGTTTTGCTTAGACTTTTGTGTGTGCATGTTTTTACATGGAAATTTTTGTAGCACAAATACAATACATCTTCAAAATTGAATCATGGCTGTGCAGTTTGACTGCACAGAACTGAATATTTCTCATTAAGAGAACAGTTGCAGAGGAATGCACTGGCACTACATTTGCCATGCAATGGCTGCAGTGTACTAACAGTGCATTCTGTCAAATGTGTTGGTAGGTCCTTCAGAGCAATCAGACACACCATTGTATCTGTGTGAAAACCCAAAGCTGGTGTTTACACCTCTAGACAGAGAGAGCTCAGCCACGTTTTAAAGGCTGATGTTAATCAGGAGTCACATCCTGTGTTTGATGTAGAAATGGTGTTTGTTACACACTTCTAGTGCCATTCAGCAGCAGTTACAGCAAGGAAGTTTACAGCAAAATTCTGTTTGACATTATAGTTCCAAAAGCATTGTCATAAATACAGCAGTTCTCTCTGAGAATAAAATTAATTTATGGCAGTTGTTGTCTGCAGAAATTTGGAGTGTAATCCAGCAATGTGGGCTTGCAAAATCAGACCTTTAAAAAGCTGAGGCCGCAGCTCTTAGAAAGAATCACTAAATACTGGCATTTCTACATTCACCCACAGGAGTCACCTCAAAACAGAGGTGTCAGTATTAAACTCGAACATCCAGACGCCTCAGAAGTGTCGGCACCACAATTGGAACCCAAGCACAAGCTGCTGAACTATTTTCAAGACAGACAAAATGCAATCACAGAATCCATTGAACTGGAAGGGCATTATGTAATCAAAACACAGGAAAGCTCACCGATGTAAACAATTATTATTATTTGGATGGCATCTTCAGTGTATTATAAACTTAAACTCTATTAAAACTGGAAAAAAACCTCTTCCACTTATCTCTAGTAAATGCTCTGTTGAAAGCCTTTGTATTGTGGTCTATTAAATCGCCCTTGGATGACTTCTAGACCTTGGTGCAGATGGTGTTTTATGTGAGATACGTGGAATTGCGTTGCACGTAGTACATACATGGCCAATAAAGAGCAGCCATTAAAACCTGAAGTAATCTCAAATATTCCTTTTATACCAGTTTGCTAGGTAAAGTGCAAAAAAGAGACACCTACATCATTCTGTAGTGTCCAACACTGAATATAAAGACTTTTTAAGTTAAAAGTGCATAAATGTATTTGTAGAAATCTAGCCAAAAAAAAAAAAAAAAAAAAAAAAAAAAAAAAAAAAAAAAAAAAAAAAAAAAAAAAAAAAAAAAAAAAAAAAAAAAAAAAAAAAAAAAAGCCATTCTAGCTATGAGAGCAAATTCTCAAATAAAAGCAGGGAATGGTTAATAACTATATAATCACATTATTTTTGTAAAAAATACAGCTCAGATATTCAAAGGACAGCCTAAAATAAATTATAATAATATAAAATTTAAATAGGAACCAAAGCATTGCCATTTATATTGCCAAAGGAGGCACTTTGTACTTTGAAGCGTAGGAAATTAAACCCCCCAAAGTGTTACCCATACTTTTTTAAATAAAAATCAAGGATGTAGATACTTTCAAAGCTGTTTTTGATGTTTAACAGTACAGATTTGTTTTTGTTGTTTGAGAAATTTGTAGTAAGTAATAGCACAGGCTTTTTTCCAGCTAGGATTCCCTTCACAGAACTGCTTGCAGTAGGAACAACGCTAACCCCAGGAGCTGTTCCTCTTCTTATTTTCACGGTCATAATCATGTCTTAGCATCTCATTTAGTGAAAAGAAGAAGACAGACACCTGTCTCTGGGGCCCTCTTCATTTAAGCACTACTTTACTAAATGCAAATTATGGCAATCAGGGCGTCAGTTTATGTATTGCCTTTCTATAAGAAACCATGATGCCTTTGTATTTGCTGTTTGCACCCCTGAACTCAATTCCATACGTTTGAATGCCATATGTTTTGCACATTGTACTGTATATATGTAATGCATACTGTATTTTTATATGTGTACTACATTTATCAAATATTTTGTACATAGTGGCAATATTGTAGCTACTGAGGAAATGTTTGATATTTCAGCATTTTTGCTAAGTGTCTCAAATAAAAAAGGAAAACTGTGCTCATTTGTCTGTGGTCACTTAAAATGAAAAATACCATTAATAATAATCAACAAAAATTCTGACTTGTGCAGGTCTGAAATGTGGAAATATCTTTCTCACAAAAAGGAGCAAGAATGAAATCTGCACTTAGGCAAACTCAAAAAAAAAAAAAAAAATATTAGTCTTCAAAATCAGAGCCAAAATCTTTAGGACTAGAGATTTCCTGAACTCTCAAAATTTGGGTTTGGACTTTATGTAATAGTATTGCTTAAACCCTCCAGAATCATTGACTCATAGAGTGGCCTGGGTTGGAAGGGACCTTAAAGCTGAAGTGGTTCCAGCCCCCTGCAGTGGGCAGGGACACCTTCCACTAGATCAAGTTGCTCAGAGCTCCATCCAACCTGGCTCTGAACACTTCCAGGGATGAGGCATCCACAACCTCTCTGGGCAGCTCATTGCAGCATCTCACCACCCTCACAGTAAAGAACTTCCTCCTAATACCTGATCTAATGCTGCTCTCAGTTTGAATCCATTCCCCTTCATCCTGTCACTACGTGCTCTTGTAATGCACTTCAATTCACCACTTTCCCGGATCCTTCCCAGATTTCCAAGATGTGCTGGTTTGTGGGATTTCATATTTGCAATTTGCATTCTGCTCAGCCTTTGTTCAAAAACACCCCAATGCATTTCCTCAGGAGAATCAGCTATGAGCTGTTTGCACAAACTTCATGATGAAGCTGCTTCATTTCAGTATTTACTTTGCCTTGTGAGGACAGTCCCTGTGCTGATCACCCACCCTTTCCTTACTCTGTTCTACACTGATGACATCAGAACTTGGCCAAATATTAAAAACCCCATAAAGCAGTAAAACTGCACAAATTCAAACTAATATACTCTGTAAATTTCATAGAATACCTTTTCTCCATTGTAAAACTTTGTGGGCTTCATATGCCACTAACTTACCTTCAGCCACCACACACTAAGCACAAACCTTGCAAAGCAAGTGCAGCACTTTCAGACTGTGCCTTTGTGCATTACAGAAATTCCAGCTGGAGTATAACAGGTAAAGCACTTGTTTTGGTGCCAACTGGCAATCTGGGGTTTGATTGTTTTACAAAGAAATACAACACAAACCCCTCCCTCCCAAACTGTGTTCATATTAGTATTACGATGTAAACACAAAACAAGGTCTGATAAAACTTGAGATTAGTCTGAATGAACTTCTCCCAAAGCTAAACTCTGGTTTTCAATAAATCCTCAATTAAAACATGTTCTACAAATGGCCATCATCACAGTTGTCTTTACTCTGTACCACCTTAAATGCTCTTTACTGCTGCCTATAGGCTTGTTGTGTACTGTACAAATGTTGCTAGTGACATATTCTTAGAATATTTGTACTGTCTCAAGTCCGAGATGTTTCTTTCTACTGAGACCTTCCCTGCCCAAAATCAAAATAACCAATTAGAGCATCTGAGACACAACAGCTAAAGTTTGGTTTTTTTGCCTTTACATGTTTGTCCAATAATGTAATAAGTAACTCTAAGAAATGCTTCCCTTCATGTAAAAAGTTACCTGAGGAAGTCTCCAGTCTTGCCTGCAGATGAAGGACTGTGGGACCACTCCACCATAGCGCTGCATCATTCCTGAACCCCTCCAAGACACCTGCTGTGGATTAAAAATTAGGATAGTGAACACAAATGTTCTTTCATAAAGCCAGGACAAAGTCTAAGCTCAAGTAATTGCTGACTGAGGAGCATTCCAGCTATCCCATAACAGATCTTTATAAACTCAGCTGCACCAAATCTACCTAAATACAATTATTCCCCAGGATCTCCTCAGAAGAGCTGGGGGATGTGTCAAAAGGATTTTGTACATGAAAACAGACACCAAAGACTCTCCTAAAGCAACATCTCCACCTCATATGAGTGAGGTTTCGGGAAGGAAGGAAAAAAAACAGGTGATTATTTTCTCCTTCCAACAAAATCTCTGATGTTATCTTTTCAGCAATGGAGTCCTTCACAACATAAAGACCAGCATAAAAAGACACTTCCAAACAAAAGTGTCCAGACAGGAAAAGGGCAATTACATGTTTATAAATCAAATTTGCATTTTTAGTTATAAAAACTATTGTTGTGATAAATCAGCTCACCATTAAACAGCACTTCGTTTAGACAGATAGAAACAATTTTTCCAGACACGGAAGAATTGAGGCTCAGAGAGACAAAATTCTTAAACCAAAGCAAGTACTTCCTCTAATCTACACAGAAGATCCTTGTGATTTCAAACTTAAGTTTCCATCTCTTCATACAGTTAAAAAAGAACTTGATCAATAGAAGTTGATTTGCCATTAAATACTATTTCTGATGCCAACCACATTGTTTAAAAAATGTAGTGTATTTGAAGACATAAAACTCATATGAATTCCACAGACAATTCAAACAGCCCGCTTTGTTTCTCCCACCAAAAAATTCCCTCTCACCTCACAAAGATCCAAAAGCACGAATAAATCAAATATATGTGAGCTGCACAGGAACTGCGATGGGAGGTTACAACTCGCAGCTATGGCACATTAAAGAGCATATTTTGTAATAAACCAGTGGGCCAGAAATGGAATGATAACAAACATTGATTAAAACTGGACTCCTCCTTGCTGCCAGCTTGGTAACACTGAGAGTAATTCTTCAGCCAGCAGAGATAACTTGGCCCTCCGAGGTCACTCCTTTCCAGGTGTGAGAGTTGAGCGAGGCAGTTTCCACCTCCCCACACCAGCACACTTGGAAGTGCTGCAGTGATCACAGTGACAACAAAGAGCAGAATACAATGGTACTATTCCCACTTCCCAGCTTTCCACAGTCCATGTCCTTTGAAGCTAGTACTGAACAAGACTAGCAGATAAATAAATTCCAGCAAGCACATGGTTTGGCCAGGCCATCAGTCTCGTCCGCAGGGATTGGAAGATCAGGACTCATCTCCTTGGGGACAGCTATTCCATGGTAGGAGCAAGCACGCTTGACACGGGCTGACTACCCAGTAGGGTAACGCGACACCTTTCACTGCAGGTGAAACTAATTCAAATCGCTCTGTTTGCTCAAACACAGGCAGCGTAGAGTTATCACTGACGAGCTGACAAACGATAACTTGGAAAGCATGAAAGTTTGTTCATGCACTCAAGCCATCAGGCATGAGCTTCCCTGATGAGAATTCAAAGGACATCCCAAAAGGATACAAAAGTATTTCCCTGCTAATCACAGGGTGGTTCAGCTAGATGACCTTTGAAGGCCTCTTCCAAACCAAACTCTTCTGGTTCTGTATCAATTTTTTAATGCACCTGCCTTACAGCACCACCAAATTATAACTCTGATCTCAACCTTTCAACAAAGGTACCTCTGTAATATGTTCATGTGCTTCTTCCACAAAAAAAAGCCCAAACCAAAACCAAAAGGGATATAAAACTTGGGTGTTCAGCGTAAGTTTCATGGAGAATTTAAAGGGGTCTCCATCGAATTAACATTTAAAACAAACAAAAACAAACAAAATCCAAACCCAAACACTGAATGAAAACTAAAAGCTTTGCTTTCAGGTCACACTTGTAATAATCTAGGAGACACAATCTAGAGGGGAAAAAAAAGTATTTTAGTAGCTTTTCTGTTTCGCCACAGTGAGTTTTCGGACGGAATAGCTACCAAGCAGCGAGTGCGTTTAATTTAGCATTTACCATTTAATTATCCCAACGTTTTGCATTTCTGCTTCTCTTCTCGGAGGAGGAAAGTTTCAGTCCGGCTTTGTCCCCTCTCTCCGAGCTGTCCTGCCCGGTCCGAAGCGGCTGCACCGCTCGGGTGCCATCACCGGGCACGGCGCCCTCACGGCCCCGGGGCCGCTGAGGGGGCGGGACGGGCAGAGGGCGGTACCCTCACGAACGGCCCCGCAGCTCCCGGGGACAGCGACAAGGACACAGGGAGAAAAAGGGAGGAAAAAAAGGAGAAAAAAGGGGGAAAAGGAGAGAGAAAGGGAGAACAAGGGGGAGCGCAACCCTCCGGCTCCTGGTCCCTCCCACACGTTTCGCCCCCTCAGCGCCTCAGGTGCCCGCGCGGGGGGCGGGGCGGGGGCGGGCGCGCGGGAGTGGCGCCAGCGATAGAAGGGCGTCGGGAACGGTCCTTAACGCAGGCGCGGTGGCCAAGTGGTAAGGCGTCGGTCTCGTAAACCGAAGATCACGGGTTCGAACCCCGTCCGTGCCTCGGCGGGTCCGCGCGGGCCGGAGGTTCCCCCTCATTTTTAGGGGGTCTCTGCGGGGCCGGGCCGGGAGCGCCCCCCAAGCGCCCGTTCCGTGCCCTCCCCGCGGCACCGGCGGCTGCGGCCCCAACAAAGGGACCCGAGCACTGTCGCGCCCTTCGTGCTTCCCTTGCTCCTGGCGTCTGCAGCGACAGGAACGTGTGTCTGAATTTCATCTTGCTGCCCAGTCGTGTTTTTTCAAGGATTCCCCTCAGATCAGACTGAAGAAGCAGAACACAGTTTGAAATGCAGCGACCGAGATCACCCTGTAATTCCACGTTCTTTTCATTGGCCCGCCCCCCTCCTGCAGCCATGTAATTCATTTAATTATTTATTCATTTGGTTCTGCCTTCTGATTAGTAAGCCATGAGGTGTCTTCATCGTGTCACTAACCACTTAGAAGGATTATTTGCAATCTGGTTAGTGTTCACATTTTCTATTCTTTTTAATAGAAAAACTCCCTGTGATGCTGAAAACAGGTAAGGGAAGGGGCACCTTGGTTCCACTCCCAGGAGTCGAGCAGTGTCACCTTCTCCAAGCAGAAGCAAACGCTGGGTGTTCCAGACACAGCTGATCCCGCAGGATCAGGAGGTGCAACTCAGTGGCACTGATGGGACCAGACACCAAACCCACACACACAGTTAAGGGCTGACAGCACTTAAACCCATTATAACAGTGTAAATAATTACATTATTACTAACTGAAAAAAAATCTTTACTGATTCATGTTTGATACCTACCATTTGAAATTTCACTCACCACTGTGTCCACACAGTCACTTTTTTTCTGCCTGACCAATCTTCCTCTCATATCCTGCACCACTATTGTTAAGAATCAAAATTGTACAATTGTATGAACAGAAATAACTGTCATTAATTATTTACATTGGATTTTGTAAAATCTGTTGAAAATCAAACCTGTAAATTCTGTTGACAAGTCAAAATCATCATTTAGCTGTATTTTGATTTAAAGAAGGGCTGTAACCAGTTATATAATCAAAGAATGGTTTGGGTTGGAAGGGACCTTAAAGACAATCTCATTCCAAGACCCTGCCATGGGCAGGGACACCTTCCACTAAATCAGATTGCTCAGAGCCTCATCCAACAGGGCCTTCAACACTTCCAGGGATGGGGCAGCCACCTCTGGGCAACCTGTTCTGCTGTCTCACAGCAAGCCTTATGCTATAAAAAGCACCTCCCCCCCCACACCCCAGATTTAATGAAAGATTACCTGACTGTATTAATTGTGTGATTAAAAATTGTATTTTTTGCACTTACCTTACCTTCAGTATCCACAAGTCTCCAGAACTGCTCTTTAGTAAATCTGACATAACTTTGATGAAGCATCAGCAGAGAGGAAATCACAGTGCTTACCTTTCCAGCTCATTTTGAACCTGAAGTTTCTCGTATGAAATCCATGACAACACTGCCCGATCTCCCTACAGAGAAGAAAGATGTAAATTATTGATTTTGCACAGTGACAGTTCCAGCACAGAGCACATGCAAGACTACAACCCAAGATGGTCTAAGTTGATTTCTGTTTTCTTACATGTTTTTACTTATGGATATAAAGGACAGTGAGGAACAGCCATGTCCCTGGAACTGCTTTCACAAGAGGTTTTTAAATGCAAAAATCAGACCCAAGGACAAAACCCAGATCTGATAATACTGCTTTCCACTGGCTTCAGCCTCAGGGAGCCTCACAGGCAGGGTGGTGGAGAGGAGCCACCCTGTCCATGATGAGTAAAGCTTTCATACATTCTTGCTTGGTTTTTAGAAATATATTTATAGGACTAAGTCAGGTATGTAGGAGAGCTATGGTTGTATCTCACCCTCTTACCAGTTTGAGGCCTGTGAGTCTGTGTTAGATGACACACAGAAATCAGGTAACACAGAGCCTGTTTTTTCATGGTCTGCAGACAGAACTTGCATTTTGTTGAATAACACAGCTAAACTATTAGCAGGATAACAATGTTGCTAAGTAACATCTTAAGACATGCCTTGTGGTTATTTACTTGAAATTGATTTTGCAATTAGAAAACTATCTGTGAAGTCACATCTTAAGAGAAACTAGTGCAGCCCAGAAACTGTAACTCCAGTAGCAGTTAAGAGGTAGAAATAATTGATACATCACATAGATCCTCTGCAGTTGCTACATATTCTTCTGGCATTGAGGACCCAGAAGGACACACCACTGCTCACCTGCAGTGCCCAGAGCAGAGCATTCCTGCACATCAGGACTCACAGAAGGACCCCAGGAGCAGTAACTGGGAATTTGCATTAGGCACAGCCAGCACAGTCCAAGCTGCCATGGCTGGGCTGCCCTGCTCAGCTGCCCCCACGTCACATGCCAGGAGTCACCACCTGTGATGAGCACAAACTATCCCAACTGGCACACGGCCCTGTCCCCGCGCCATGTGATGTGAAATCTAAACTAGAAACTTCCTCTGGCCACGTGTTTGGCGGCTCTGCAGTCCCCCTGCAGCCCTGGCACCCAGGGGAGCCCACGGCTCTGTGAGCACCCAGGGACAAGAGCAGCAGGACAAACACAGGCTGCAGCACAGAGCCGTGGGAAATGAGTCCTCTCCACAGTCCAGCTTCTATCACTGCATCATTAAAAAAAAAAATCCCTCACACTGTGCAGTCGTACCGGTGAAAGCAGCAGATGGAGCACATTGAACTTAGTTTTGTATTTTCTGTTGTTGTAACAGAACCTCTTGCTGCCTTTTTAATTGAATTTTACATGTGACAACCGCTATGACCAACAGAGGACAGCACATCCATTTCTTTTAATCATTAAAAGATCCTGAACTTGAAGCTGCCATTCACTTTTTCACTCAGGAAATGAGAGTGACAGGCAGAGTGGAGCAGTGTGCCATAAGTAAGCCAGCCAGATTAAAAAGGCCTTTTTGCAATTAACTAGAGCTGTTTTGAATTCCAAGAGATTACTCCAAGTAAATCTACTTCTACCCAGGCTTTATTGCTAACGGAACACTGTGGGTGCACCTCTCCAAAAGCTGGGTCTGTATTTCGGTGCAGTTGTTTACCGAGCTCTGCAATAACTGTTAGAACATACTTAGGAGTCAAAGCACACTCAGGATTGTCAGGTGAACTCTGCTAATTCCCCTTCAAAACTGCAGACAGACAAGGTGTCTGTAACTAAGTTTTGATTAAATGTGAGTGTTCATAAAACACTGAAGTAAAGCCAGACTCAGGTGTTTTTATTGCATTTGATTTGGGGGCAGAGAAGACTCTGCAAGTCATAATGAAATTCAAGGAACAAACCCAAGGATTTCACGTGGCTGAGGGGAATTTCATTACAGAAATTCAATTAACCTGCAAGAGTGGCAAACATTGAAACCTATTATCTTCCCCCAAAAGCTGGCTTTAGGCTTTTTATAGCAACCTTTGCTATTTCTGGATAAATAATCCCTTATTCCAAATGCATTGACATCTTTATATAATTAATTGAATATAATAACATCTTCATCCACCTCTGCTTTGCAAACATTCAGTTCTGCTTCCTATGAAATGTGTCAAAATAGTGGTTTTTTAAAAGACATGACTCAAGAAGGGCTGGGTGTTAGACACAAGCACAAAGCAAACACACAGATTCAGGAGACACGAGGAACAACAGCAGCTCCTGACAGTGTGCAGGTCTGCGTTTGTCAGGCAGGGCCTGATCCTGGGAACGGCTGAGCTGAATTAATTAACAACCTGACATACCATTAAGTCCATGGGGACTGACAGTGCTCAGCAGTTCTCAGTATTGGGGCCCTGCCATAAAGGGCAACCTCCAAATTCCCATTCAAGCGAGTAACAATATTGCACACATCTACAGTGGGGACATGAATTATTCACATCAGTGTGGCATGAAAGATGCAAACGGCAGAGCCTGTTTAAAATAACACACAAGCACTCATTAGTGTTCCTGTGATCTGTGGGAGGGTTATCGTTTGGCCCATTTTTCACTCACATGTATATTGCTTTTATTTGCTGTGTGCATAGGTCTGATATGAGAATGTGGGAAAAAAAAATACAGGAGATAGGCATCTATAAACATTAGTGGAAAATGAGGAAAGGGGGGTTACTGATTAGCTTTCTTCCCATATGAAACTCCTAGATCGTATCGGAGAAATGCGAGTTAAGTGTTTTACCATTCTTTTTTTTAACCATTATCTGATCAGAGAAGCATGAAAAGCACTTTATTGCCTTTTTTTTTTTTCCCTGGGCTAGGAGCCCTCTGCAGGAAGTGAAGCTGAATTTCACAAATCTTCCCTTTCTGACGTCTCCCGAATTTCTAGGAATACCCCTTCCCTGTTACTATATTTGGTGGTAGTTTCTAGGAAAAAAAATAATTTTCGGACGGTGTTGGACTCACCACACCTCCTCTCGGAGGACTGTGCGCCCCAGGGCTCCTGGCACGGCCCCCGCGGAGTTAAGGAGCTCACGGCTCGGGCTCTCAACTCCCGGCGCAGACTGCACGTCTTTGTAGCACTGTTGGAGGAACGAGCATGGAGAGGGAGTGGGAAGGGGAGAGGTGTCTTTGTGGCAACAATGAGTGAATCTTCTCTAGTTTTTTCCTGGTGGCTGCTCTTTTTTTTTTTTTCCCTGCACTTTGTTGGGTTTTTTTTTTTGTTGAGGCTTTTTCCTTTATTTTTTTTTCTCCTTTTTTCAAGGAAGAGGATCCTAAGGAAAAAAAAAAAAACCTCTGGATTTTTTTTTTCTCCCTCCGCTTCCCCCTCTCCCCCCTCCCCTCGATGTGGCCTCTTGTTTAGCTTGTGGCGTGACCGTGATGAAGAAATGTTTCAGGGCGCCTGGCAGGGTGATCTTTTTATGTAATGAGTCAGGATTTTGCCAACGGAAGGAGC